TATCGTTATCGATAGATCGATAACATTCTTAGATTATTTACAGTGTTGTAGTTACATTTTAAATTCAAACTATATTTATAAGCTTAAATCTAGTTGGATAAATAAGGTTTATATCAATTCGAAGAAATGTTAATTTAATAAAAATAGTGGATTGCTTCAGCTTTAAAAAAAAAACACGCCTTGTAAATATTCTGTAAAAAATCAAAGCTTAAGATGACCTTAAAAAATATTCTTCAAAAAATCCAAGTCTTAGGACGGCCTTAAAAATATAATTCTTAAAAAAATCCAAACATTGGGAAGACCTTGACAAAATATTCTTTAAAATATCCAAGGCTTGGGAAAACTTTGAAAAAATATTTTTTAAAAAATCCACGCCATGGGAATAATTAAAAAATATTCGTCGAAAAATTCATGCCTTAAGAACACCTTGAAAAAATATTCCTTAAAAAATCGACACCATGGGATCATGAAAAAATATTCTGTAAAAATATTTTATTGTAGCCTAAAAATAAATTTTTTCCACTACAATGAGTTCCCTTACATTGAAAAAATATTTTTCTACATAAAAACCCTACCAGAAATAAATTAAATAATACAAACATTCCCCATAAACTATTTCAGTTAAACAATTCCTTTAAATTTTTGTTGCTTTAAAAATCCTCTATTCAACTTTCCTTTAAAAACAATCTAAACATTTGTTTTAAAAAGTACACCTTTACATTGTTTTTCCGAACAAATTTTAAGTTCAATGCCCATTCTATATATGTTTTTAATTTATTTCTTTTTTTAATTTAAAAATTTAAACTAAGTTGCTGTTGTCTTTTACAAAACAAAAGCTTATAAAGAAGCTTCACTGAACTTTTTTTCATTTCAACTTTTCTTTTCTTGTGGTATATTGAAAGTAGTAGTAAATATGTAAGAATATTTATTTATTTTGAAATAAAAAAATAAAAGCAAACAAAAATGGTATACTGCACTAATAATTGTAAACGTATTCTACAAAGATTTTTTTAATAATTATAGCTATAATGTATACAAAAAATTAGTTGTACAAATTTAAGATTTTTTCCAGAAATTTTTTGGTCAAGATCGGGGCTGTAAAACAAAGTCCAAAAATATTGTCGACAATATTTCAAATATTGCTAGTACAGCCCTGATCTAATATACTTATCTTTAATAAAAAATATTTTAACTTTAAGTATCTAGCAGTGTTAGTTAGTGTTAGTATTTTATTCGAATTATGAAATATATATATAAATATTTGTCTAGTAGAATTTTGGTTTCCCTTGAAGATGCATTTCTATTGCCAGCCAGAAAAAACCCCTATTCCGCTCTAATCAGATATACTTTTATTCCTAGAGATTAGTATGTGATAAAACAAACTACAGTCCCCCTACAGTGCAGTTTTATTTTATTTATTTTCAATTTATTTGTGTTTTATTCGGGTCATATTGTGGTTACCAAAGAAAATATGCTTTCTTTAGGGATTACGATTTGAAATGCCATGACTTCAACTGTTAGGATATATTTTATCTATATATTTTTAAATTTATTTATATATTTATACTCTTTATTATACAAAAAAGTAAATAAAAAAATAAAATCGTTGTGTTATATATATATATATATATATATATATATATAACATTGTTTAAAAAAATGTTTAAAATTCCATGCCTAAGAAAAATTATTTTTTAAACAACTTACGTCTAAGTTGGTCCTCGAAAAAAATATTGTTTAAAAACTCCATACCTAAGAAAAATTACTGACTTACTTACTTAGCTGGCATGTGGCAGCTATTTTGTTCCATAAACCGAGCTTAAAAAAACATTTTCAGGCGCGTCGGTCTTTTTCGCAGTTTTTTTCCAATTTGAAAGACCATATTCAGCAATGTTTCCTTCCAATTGGTCTTTCCACCTTATTCTTGGCCTTGCCCTTCTGCGTTCGCTTTTATATGCCTTCTGGGCTGGGGCATTTTCATCCATTCTCACAACATGTCCTAGCCAACGTAGTCGCTGCAGCTCAATGCGTCTAACAATGTCGATGTCCGAAAATAGCTGGTACAACTCATGGTTCAATCGACGGCAATATTCACCGTCAACGCAGTTCGGCCCATAGATCTTTAGGAGAATTTTTTTTTTCAAACACTCAAAGAGCTGTTTCATCAGTTTGCGCAAGTACCCATGCTTCAGTTCCATATAACAGCATTGGTAGTATCAGAGTCTTGTAGAGTGTGAGTTTAGTCTGGCGGAAAGTGGCCTTGCTTTTGAGTTGTTTGCTCAGACCATAGTAGCATCTCAAAACTGATGCCATTTGTTTTGTTTATGGCGGTACCGAGGTATATAAAATCTTTGACTATCTCGAAGCTTTAGTTATCAAGTTCCACAGTTGATCCGAGTCTACTGGACGTCTTGCGCGTTGATACCATCAGCTTGGTCTTCTCGCCGTTTACTGCCGGATCCACTTTGGCAGACTCCTCCTCGAGTTGTTCGAAGGTGGCTGTTACCGCTCTCAGTGTTTGAATCATTATGTCGATGTCATCGGCTTAGGCGAGTAACTTTTGTTGTTTGGTGTATAGAGTGCCATTTCTGTTCACTTTTGGCTCTCGTATGACCTTTTCCAGCAGGATGTTAAAAAGGTCACACGACAAACTGTCACCATGTCTGAATCCTCGTTTGGTATTAAAGGGCTCCGAGAGGTCCTTTCCAACTTTAGCTGCTGATCATGTGCCAGTTAAAGTTATCCTGCATAGCCGAATTAATTTTGCAGGAATGCCAAACGCAGACATGGCTTTAAACACCTCGGAATGGATAGAACTGTCGAATGCGGCTTTATAGTCGACGAATAGGTGGAATCTGTCGATGTGTTTTTCTTGGGGGTTTTCCAGGATTTGGCGCAAAGTGAAAATCTGGTCAATGGCGGATTTGCCAGGTCTGAAGCCGCATTGGTATGGTCCAATAATCTCATTTACCATTGGCTTCAGTCGTTCACATAACACACTGAATATCACTTCATATGCGATTGGAAGGAAACTTATTCATCTATTGTTGGCACATAACGTCTTGTCTTATTTTTTGTGCACGGGACACAGGATACTGAGGTTCCAATCATTAGGCATGCATTAATCTAGCCAAATTGTGCTAATCAGCTGGTGCATGCTCCTGACCAGCATCTGGCCACCAGTCTTGAATAGTTCAGCTTGTAACCCATCGGCATCTGCTGCTTTATTATTCTTCAGCCGATTGATTGCTATTCTGACTTCATCTTGGCTAGGTGGTATACACTCTATACCGTCATCTATTATTGGCCCTGGTGTATCCTCTTCACCGCTACTAATTGATACTAGAAGTTTTTTAACATGCTCCTTCCAGATCATCAGCACGCTGTATGTATCTGTCACCAGGTTTCCTTCTTCATCTCTACAGGAGGATGTGCCTGCACCAAAGCCTTTGGTGTTTTACCCGTTGGTAGAATTTTCGGACTTCATTCTGACTCCTGTACATCTCGATTTGCTAGCGCTCACGTTTATCTTGTTCTTTCTTCTTTTTTCTGAAAATACCTTTCTAAGACCTTATTTTTAAACTCACGCCTTGGTTATTATTTAAAAACCCCTGCCAAGTATTTTTTGAAACCCAACGCATAGTTTAGTCCTTGAAAAAATATTTTTAAGAAATCCGAGCCTTGGTTAGTTCTTGAAAAACTCCTTATTAAATAGTATCAACTTAATTAGTCCTTTAAAAATATTCTTTTAAAAATCTACGACATGTTAGACCACGAAAAGATATAATTTTAAAAATCTACGCCTTGATTAGACCTTAAAAAATATCCTTTTATAAATCAACGCCTTGGAGAGACCTTGAAAATATTTTTTCTAATCTTCGCCTTGGGTAGATTTTTAAAACATATTTTTCATAGACTTCACAGCTTTGATAGAATTTGAAAAATTTTCGTTAAAAAATTCACTCTTTGTTTGTCCTTGAAAAAAATTCTACCATATGTTGGCCCTTGAGATTTTTAAAAATCCTAAAATATATATTAAATTGTTTCCATTTTTTTAATCTATATAACACAACGATTTTTCTCCTATTTAAATTTTTAAAAATATATATATATATCTATATATGGTAAAATTATATTAAAATTTCAGGATTTTCAATTTTCCATTCCATAACAAAATTAATTAAAATAAGTATTTTTTTCTACTCCATTTTTTCCATGCTCTTTTTGTCTCTCTTCTACTCTGTATTTTTTTTTTGTTTTTTTATGTCATTCTGGCTACGCTTTTGACTACTTTTTATTTTGAAAAATAAATAAAATAACAAACAACAACAACGACGACATGGAATCCTTACAACTGTGTTTGTTATCACATTGTGCGAACTCTTCTGAATGCAATGTTCTAATGAACTTTATAATGAACAACTTTTCTCCTGAAACCAAATGAAATGCTACAAATGCAATGGAAAACATTGCTGGATGGTTGGATGCATTAAATTCTACGAAACAAAAATCTCAACACTTGGACACGTTTTTATGATGATGATGATGCGTTTTGTCTCTGTGTGTGCGTGTGCCGTGTGTTGTTTGCAACCTACTATTCTAAATATGTGAAAACTGAATGCTAACAATGCTACCTATCGTGTCTCTCTCTATCTAACGAAAACATCAACAACGTCCACGACGATGACGACAACAACAACTGTCATCCAAAAATGCAATGCAATGTTGTACTGTGCTAATGTACGTAATTGCGACGAACCTGTATAACCATACATGTATGGGTCTGTTTGCTTGTTTGGATGGTACGTTTGGGTTATTTGGTTGTATGTTTTGCCATGATGCGATATTGCTACTGTTGCCGCCTAACGATGATTATGCTGACGATGACACTGTTTTTATTCCTACGACCCGAATGCCACCTACATTGCTTGGCCGTGCGTGTGTGTTTATTTGTGTATGGGTCTGTGTCTCCTTATATATGTTATGGTATGGTATTATAGGTGGTCAGGATGTTGAAGTGGACCTCTCAACGGAAATAATCAAGCAACACTTTCAGGTAAGCCACAACAACAACTACAAGAACATGAACAACAATCTACAACTATTAGTGCAGCAAAGTCATATGAAAATGATGTCATAGATAATGTCAAGATTTTTTGACATTTGCAGTAGGTTCTGTCACTAAATAGAGACAGGACAGGGGTTTTAGGGATGTAAATGTTTTTCTCTAAAAAATGTTCTTCTCTTTAAAAATCCTCGACTATTTGGTCCTTTAAAAGATATACTTTAAATAGATCCAAGCCCAATAGGCCCTTGAAAAAATTTTGTTTAAAAAATCCACGTCTGTGTTGGTAACAGAAGAAAATATTCTTAGAAAAATCCTCTGGACGCCTTGTTTAGTCCTTGAAAAAATATCCATTAAAAACTCACACCTTGCTTAGTCCGTGAACAAATATCCATTAAAAAACTCACGCATAGTCTAGTCCTTAAAAAAGTATTAAAAAAGGATTAAAATACACGTCTTGTTCATTCCTTGAAAAAATGTCCAATAAAAACTTCACGCCTTGGTTGGTCCTTGAAAAAATATTCATAAAATAATTCATTATTAAAACCAGTAAGGAAAGTAGTAAAGTCGGACGGGGCCGACTATATGGTACCCTTCACCACTATGGGTATACTAAACAGGAATATTAACATGAAATCGGTCCAAATAAAATATGTGATATTTATCTAAATGTGAATCGACTTAGATCTATCCATAAACATGTCACTGGATTGTTACAATGGGACAAAATTATGTAAATCGACTTCAAAAAAATATCAATAGGTCATCAATAGGTCTGTACTTCTATAAAACGCAACTAAGTAATTCTATGCTCAATTTTGTACGTTGTGCATAATTTGATGTCAATCTGACTAACATGAGGAGTCTGATGTCCAATTTACTAAAAATTAGGTAATACTAATTTCAGTACGTTTTTTTCGTATCCTTGGTGCGTCAATTACTTAAAATCAATCTATAATATAACGGAGCTATATCTAAATTTCAACCGATTTTCACGAAACTTGGCACACATCATTCTGGACAAAATTCAGTACGCTATTCCACATTTCGTGCAAATCGAAGGATATATAGGGACTCTGGTGCACCATTTACATGAAATCAGACGAAACTATATATGGGAGCTATATTCAAATCTGGCCCTTGAAAAAATATTCTTTAATAAATCCACGTACAATGTTTACAATTTAACAATCCACGCATGCATAAATCGACTAAGAAAGTGTTGCATATTCTCAAAAGGAAAAATATTCCTTTTGCCTGTTACAAATCCACGCCTCAGTTGGCCCTTGAAAAATATTCTTTAACAAATCCACGCCTCAGTTGGCCCTTGAAAAATATTCTTTAATAAATCCACGCCTCAGTTGGCCCTTGAAAAATATTTTTTAATAAATCCACGCCTCAGTTGGCCCTTGAAAAATATTCTTTAATAAATTCACGCCTCAGTTGGCCCTTGAAAAATATTCTTTAATAAATCCACGCCTCAGTTGGCCCTTGAAAAATATTCTTTAATAAATCCACGCCTCAGTTGGCCCTTGAAAAATATTTTTTAATAAATCCACGCCTCAGTTGGCCCTTGAAAAATATTTTTTTATAAATCCACGCCTCAGTTGGCCCTTGAAAAATATTTTTTACCAATCCACGCCTTAGGTTTGTCCTTAAAATATTGTTTACCAATCCACGCCTTGAGTTGGTCCTTAAAATATTTTTTTACAAATCCACGCCTTAGGTTGGTCCTTAAAATATTTTTTACAAATCCTAAAAATTTTGTTAAGAATCCATAAAATATTTTTTGAAAATTCCACGCTTAAATATTTTATTAAAATCCATGTCTCGTGTTGGTCCTTAAAAAAATATTTTTTTTTTAAAATACACGCCTTAGATTTGTTCAAAATGCAGGACTTAATTAGGTCCTTAAAAAAATGTCTTTAAAAAACCCACGATTTGGTAAGTTCATTGAAACGATATTCTATAAAAATATCCACGCTTTTGTTAGGTCCTTGAAAAAAATATTCTTTAAAAACTCCACGCCTTGGTTAAGTCCTTGATTGAAAAAAACATTATTTAATGTTAGTTAGGTCCTTACATTTCGTTTTTAAACCATGTTTTGTTGAGATTTTTAAAAAATCCGCGCCATGGTTAGGTCCTTATTTTTTTAAAACCGTGTCTTCTTTAGGTCTTTAAAAAATCCGCGCCTTGGTTAGGTCCTTACTTTTTTTAAACCACGTCTTGTTTAGGTCTTTAGATAATCCTCGCTTTGGTTTCGTTAAAAAATCCTCGCCTTGGTCAGGTCCTCGAAAAACATTCTTAAAAAATCCACGCCTTGGTTAGGTCCTTAAATTATTGTTTTTTGTTTTTTTAATCCATGGTCTGGTTAGGGCTTTGAAAATATTCTTTAAAGAATCCACGCATTGGTCCTTAAAATTTTGTTTTTTTGTAAATCCACGGTCTGGTTAGGGCTTTGAAAATATTCTTTAAAAAATCCACGCCTTGGTTAGTTCGTTGAAAAAATGTACGCCTCGGATAGCCGAAAAATATTATTAAAAAATTCACGCCTTGGTTAGTCCTTGAAAATTTTTCCTTTAAAAAAGCCACACTTGTTTAGTCCTTGAAAAAATATTCTTTACAAAATTCACACCTTGTTAAATCCTTAAACATTTTTTTCTATAAATAAAAATGTACTGAAATTATGTATAACCATTAAAAATTTAAATATGTCTCTTATATTGCTCTGACTATGCATATATAGGTCCTGTGACAATTCTGACTCTGTTTATTTGTCAATTCTACAGTGCCTTGTTTTTGTCGACCCCCTGTTCACATTGTCTATGACAAAGTCTTTGTATTCGGACTTTGCTGCAGCTGGATCATCCTACTGTTATCTTAACTGATTGAACTCATTCATTTATAAACTCTTTTGTGTTGTGCATGTTCTTTTTTTTTTGCTCTCGCTCGATGTTTGTTTTTGTATTGGTGTACTGCAAAACAACTCGACATCCTTATTGCTCTACAACAACAACATTACTATACAATACCTATGATGCCTATACTGTTGCTGACGTCGATGATGATGATGACGATGGCAATGATTGCTCCAATACAACAACAACTACTACCACTACTACAAATATAACTACAAATACAACCATACAATGCTGCCACTATTTCTACTTTGGCATTTCTGGTTTTCGTTCGAACGCTGGTGCTTTCATTTCTTGGTGGTGGCCGACTCTTTTGTGTTTTTTGGGCCTCATTAGAGTACCTGTCATACAGCATTGGATACATGCCGTGAAGATCCGTCCTGTGCTTCATCATTGCAGCCAATGCTGCAGCATTGTGAGATGCATCGCTGTAATCGCAATGCATGCATGACTTCATTGCAGGCCTTTTACAAAGGACCGCACGAGGACTTAAATTTAGATGTGGCCTTTTGTCTATGCAAGTAAGTTGGAGTTTTGCTCTCTATTTGTGTTTTTTGTATGGATTGGATTAGTATCACTCACACAAACGCAGCTGGAAAAAATGCAAAGCATTTTTACACGCACACACCCATACATTCTCATATTGGCCACTCCAATCATTTGTAGTTCAAAAGCCAACAAAACATTGCAGTTTGACAATTGAACTAATGAAAAAATAGAAAACTTCTTGCTTAATTATAGTCCATGTTTGAGTGTGTGCGTGTGTGTGTTGGTGCAAGCATTTTTGGATGTGAGAAACGGGGTTTCCTTTATTGTTTGACAAACTTTATTTTTTGTTTGTTTCGCTTTTTTTTTGCAGGAAAACATCAAACCGCCATGACAGTTGTATGATTGCTCAGGAAAAACTACATCCGGTTTGTGCACAAAGACCACCCGACAACAATAATCAACAAAGTTATACACCACCGCCATCATGTCACGCTGTGGCCGAAGCCTGCAAGGAGGATCGTGAATGTCGGTAAGTTTTGCCAATTGAAAGTTGGCCAACGGGAAATTGCCCTTTTGATGTTGTGTTATGATGCGGGAATATTATTATGAATCGAACGTCCTACAAATGCCGTTGAAAAAATTTAAGCCTTGGATAGACATTGTAAAATTCTACGCTTTGGGTAGGCCTTAAAAAATTAACGTCGTTGAAAAAATCTAAGCCTTGGATAGACATTGAAAAAATCCACGTTTTGGGTAGGCCTTGAACAAATCTAAGCCTTGGATAGACATTGAAAAAATCCACGTTTTGGGTAGGCCTTGAACAAATCTAAGCCTTGGATAGACATTGTAAAATTCTACGCTTTGGGTAGGCCTTAAAAAATTAACGTCGTTGAAAAAATCTAAGCCTTGGATAGACATTGGAAAAATCCACGCCTTGGATAGTCGTTGAAAAAATCTAAGCCTTGGATAGATATTGAAAAAATCCACGCCTTGGATAGTCGTTGAAAAAATCTAAGCCTTCGTTGAAACAATATTCTTTAAAAAATCCACGCCTTGGATAGTCGTTGAAAAAATATTCTTTAAAAAATCCACGCCTTGGATAGTCGTTGAAAAAATATTCTTTAAAAAATCCACGCCTTGGATAGTCGTTGAAAAAATATTCTTTAAAAAATCCACGCCTTGGATAGTCGTTGAAAAAATATTCTTTAAAAAATCCACGCCTTGGATAGTCGTTGAAAAAATATTCTTTAAAAAATCCACGCCTTGGATAGTCGTTGACAAAATATTCTTTAAACCAGTGAGCGGAGCAGTATAGTCGGACGGGGCCGACCATACGATACCCTACACAACTACCACGGAACTCAAATTTTCTGCGGATGTTTATTCCGAGACTGGGCAATATTTCGTGATATTTGCACCCTCTTGCCCGATTAGAGGTAAACAGCACATGTTCCTCACACTGACATATTTTCCGAATATTACGAGTATTCAGTACAACTATTGTCCAGATTCCCTTCACCGTGGGTTGTGTTGTGATGTTCGGCTTTCATATGAGGTTTATAGATCGACTCGAAAATAACACAAAAAATTAATTTTTCGGTCCACTTCATTCCAAAATTATTATGTGATCATCACCGAAAATTATAGGCGTTGTCCTTGACCATAACTGGAACCTCATGGAACATTTCAAAGCGATCAGCGCTATAGTTCCGCTCTCCAGAGTGATAATGGGTTACTAAATAATATACGAATACGGAGATACCTGTAAATATTTAGGTGCAACTCCCACATCCGAGCACATACAACAATATAATTGGTCTTAATTTAAAGGTCAACCACTCCTCTTGGATATAATATCAACTTTTCGGGCATATGTCCTTCAGGGGTAAACATATACGCCATAGAATACAAATTTTGTCATTTTTCACACAAAAGTCAGGGTCCATTTGACCCGCTAAATATTGACCGATCTTTCTCCAAACAGGCATGCTTATTCTTTGGCCCGATCTGCTTCTCCACGCAACATTTCACGATGTTCGGACCATTGTTGCGGCCTCTGGAGCGACCAGAAAAACCGACAAAAATTTAGTATTTGGTCCATTTCATCCCCTAAATATTAACCGATCTTTCCCAAAAACAATAGGGGTCTTCATTGGCCAGAACCCATCCTACATGCAAAATTTCGTGAAGATTGGTCCATAACTGTGGCCTGTACCGTGTTTACAAATTATAATGGACAGACGGACGGACGGACGGACGGACGGACGGACGGACACACATGTCTAGATCGACTCAGCTAGTCGAGATATGACGATCGGTATACTTAAAGGTGGGTCTAGGACCAATATTTCGCGGCGTTACAAACATTTGGGGCTGCACAAAGCTATAATACCCTGACAACATAGTTGTGTAGGGTATAAAAATCCACGCCTTGGATAGTCGTTGAAAAAATATTCTTTAAAAAATCCACACCTAGGATATACCTTAAAAATAGTCTTTAAAAAATCCACACCTTGGAGACGCTTTGAAAAAATACACGCTTTGGATAATCCCTGAAAAATTCTCTCTATCTACAAATATACATTATTTAAACGGGTTGCATTAACGTAATTAATTTCCTATAACTTAATAAATTTCCAATATAAATTAGTATTTGTTATGACCCCTTTTTTTGTCCCATGCAACTTTGGAGTGATTTTGACAGTTTAGTAGCGTTAAATTAACACTTCACAGCATGTAAACCAATCAATGTATAGACTCTCTTTCGCTCGTTAAATGACTCGTTCAACGACAACAAACATGACTGATGACGGCGTTAATGACAAGGATAATACCATCCAGAACATACAACAAAGTGTGTTCAATTAATTTAAAACTAAACTCTTTGCAAAGCCGACAAATACACACACAATTCACTCGTACACTTCATCGTGAAAATAATAAATAGAGGATGTATTAGGTTGTAAAGATTTTGTTAAAAAAAAAAAACAAAATTGGATTGATCTTTCAAAAAACATTATAACTTCTTTGAAAAATATTTTTTTAATGACACGACTATGTTTGCCCCTGAACAAATATTCTTTACAAAATCCACGCCTTTCATTGGTCCTTGAAAAAATATTCTTTAAAAAATCCACCCCTTTTATTGGTCTATGAAAAAATATTCTTTAAGAAATCCAAGCCTTTTATTGGTCTTTGAAAAAATATTTTTTAAGCCAGTGAGGAAAGTAGTAAAGTCGGACTTGGCCGACTATATGATGCCCTTCACCACTTTGGTTATATTGTGCATATGTATCCTAACAATTTCATCTCAATGTCCCCTCGAAAGAACATACACATGCCATTCTGCAACCTATGATAAATTTAAATTTATTCTGGCAGATTTAGAGTCCCTTGCGTTCAATGGGACACATTTATCGAAATCGATTTATAACACTCTTGATACACGCTATTCGGTATGCCGCACTGTTAAAAATGTAATCTCAATCAGACACCCGTTCGAAATATATATGAAAGTTATACCTACAACTGCACCAATTTCATCAAAACGCAATGTGTCAATCGGACAAACGTTAGGAGTTTGGTGCACCATTTACTTAAAAACCGATGAAAATATATATGAGAGCTATATCTAAATCTGAACCGATTTTCACGAAACTTAGCACACATCGTTCTAGGCTTAATTTAGTACGCTATGCCAAATTTTGTGGAAATCGAAAGATATATAGGGACTTTGGTACACCATTTACATTAAATCGGACGAAAATATAAATGGGAGCTATATCTAAATCTGAACCGATTTTCACGAAATTTAATATACGTCTTTCTGGACTTATTTCAGTACGCTATGCCAAATTTCGTGCAAATCGAAGGATATATAGGGACTTTGGTGCATTATTTATATGAAATCGGACGAAAATATATATGGGAGTAATAACTAAATCTGAACCGATATTTTCCAGTTTCAATAGGGTTCGTCCTTGGCCCAAATAAATGAGCTGTGTCAAATTTCATCCAATTCGAATCAAAAATGCGGCCTGTACTTTGTTTACAATTTAACGGGGACGAGGCCGACCATATGATACCCTACACAACTTCCACGAAACTATAACTTTCTGTGGTTCTATATTCTGAGCTTGGATAATATTTCGCGTTATTTGCACCCTCTTGACCGCTAGAGGTCAACAAATTTTAGAAATATTCAGTAGAGACCTTCTAATCACTTGTTCAGATCCACTTCACCGTGGGTTGTGTTGTGATGTTCGGCTTTCAAAAAATAAGTTTTCGGTTCATGTCACCCCAAAATTATTATCAGATCATCACCGAATATTATAGGCGTTGTCGGTGACCATAACTTGAACCTCATGGAAAATTTCAAAGCGATAAGCGCTATATTTCCGACCTCTAGTGTGGTAATGGGTTACTAAATAATATATGAATACGTAAGCACTTGTAAATATTTATGTGTAAATTCCACATCCGAGTACATACGACCATATAATTGGTATCAATTTAAAGGTCAACCACTCCTCTTGAACATACTATCAACTTATCGGGTCTAGGACCTTCAGGTGCAAATATATACCCCATAGAATACACATTTTGTAATTTTTCATACAAAAATCAGGGTTCACATTGACCCGCTAAATATTGAGCGATCTTTATCAAAACAGGCATGCTTATTCTTTGGCCCGATCCCCTTCTCCGTGCAAAAATTCGCGGTGTTTAGGTCATAATTGCGGCCTCTGGAGCGACCAAAAAAATCGACAAAAATAAAGTTTTTGGTCCACTTCATCCTCTAAATATTAACCGATTTTTTCCAAAAACAATAGGGGTCATCATTGACCAGAACCCATCCTACATGCAAAATTTCATGAAGATTGGTCTATAACTGTGTCCTGTATCGTGTTTACAAATTACAATGGATAGACGGACGGACAGACAGACGGACGGACACACATGTCTAGATCGACTCATCTAGTCGAGATATGACTATCGGTATACTTAAAGGTGGGTCTAGGACCAATATTTCGCAGCGTTACAAACTTTTGGGGCTGCACAAAGCTATAATACACTGACAACATAGTTGTGTAGGGTATAAAAATATATTTTAAAATACCCACGCCTGTGTTGGTCATTAAAAAAATATCTTAAAACAATGCCTCCTTATAACGGTCCTTGCAAAAATATCTTTCATGAAATCCATGTCCATACACGTACCACCCTATGTTCGTTGTGCACTTAAGCTGTCAATACTCATGAAGAGAGTGCTCAGCGAAAAAAAACCCAAACAACAAAGAGAGCAACAACAACAATTTTGTTTTACTCCTTCCGTAGTGAAAAGTGTCGCAAACACATCGTGGCATCTTAAACGAGTGAACAATTTAGTGGAGCCGTTACTGAACAATTTTTGCAGCGATATTGACAAGAGGTTAAAATTAAAATCACATTCATTCACATATACACGAGCGCAACAACAACAACAAATTCCGAACGTGGTGCAAATAAGTGATTACATTGACGGTGTCA